CCCCAAAACCCCAAAACCCCAAAACCCCAAAACCCCAAAACCCCAAAACCCCATCCCCAAAACCCCAAAACCCCAAAACCCCTTATTAGGGATTTGTTATTGAATTATTTTAATATGGAATTAAGTCTTACTGCTAGAGGTAGGTCGCCTGCAGACTCAGCAGGTTACGGGAGCTGAGAAGTGGGTGCCAAAGGGATAAGGGAGGATAGAAGGGGGTGTAAGGGGATTAGGGGTTTTGGGGGGTTTTGGCATAGGTTGGGGAGAAGGGGGACTAGGAGGGGTTAGAATGGCTTTTATAGGTGGGAAATACTTGGAGAGAGTGAAAGGAGGGCATGGAGATAATAGAGATTTGAAAGCGATCAATCTTTTTGGTAGGAGAGGAGAGTAATTGTGTAGGGGTTAGTCCGGAAATGCAGTATAAGTAAGTCTAATAGGATTTGGGGGTAAGAAATGGTTTTAGGTCGCAAAGTCCTTATCTCAGCAAGATTAGATTCAGAAAGGTTAGAGGTATTAAATCGCCAATACTGGTACTTCTGTAATTGATTCTGTGTAGGAATCATCTGCGTCTCCAAGACAATCTCCTAAACCTATCGAGAAAGAGAAGAGACTTGATACAAATCAAGAAGAGTTTGACGATGTAAAGAAAATCTTAAAGAAATCTGAAGAAAAGCAGACCAGAGTTTTACAAATGAAAAAGAGTTATCTTACAGGTACTCCTAAGACATAACAGAGTAGCAAGGATGTATAAATAAGAAGTACAAGAAGCCATCTCCAAAGTCTCTTAAGAAAAAATTTAATCTTTTTGATCCTGAAAGTGAGTCTGAAATTTTAAAGTTGATAAAAATAGGCAGAAAACTTACTAAATCCAATTTTACCTAATATGTTGAAACTCCAAAAACCGAAAGTGCCTAGTTCTATCACTTCAAAACTGTATTTATCTTTTAATCTTTTTAGTAAACTTTTAATCTCAAAGAGAAAAGAACTACTTCAAAATTCCAAGACTTCTCAATTACTTCCCCCACCTCCACATTACTTTGCATCTACAGAGATAATCCATAATACAAACTCTCCCAAAGAAAGCTCTTTACAATCCTTATACTCAGATGTCTTGATCTCAAGACCCCCTACCACAATGCCCACTCGTAAACCCCACCAAGGCTCAATCCACAAATTCCTCCACCAGACCCCTTCCAAAAATACACCTTCTAGAAGAAAGACCGCTTCTCACCCCTTCAGATCTCCCCCCAAAACCCCCAATCCCTATTTCCCTTACCCAACCCCCACTTTCTCCACCCAAAACTTCCCAAACCCCTCCCCAATCTCCCCTAGTAATCCCCTCCTCACAATTTAAGTGCTCTTCTCCTGGAGCTAGGCTTCTGTGCCAGGACAATATGTACTTCTCCCACTTATTTAAAATTCCTTCTATGGTACCTAGTCCAAAAGCACAGCCTAAGAAGTCAAGGAATTATAGAAGGAAATATGCGAAGAAGGAAGGAAGAGATTGTACTGTAGAGCAAGAGAAGGGTGTGAATAAGAGTATAAAGGAAGAGCCAACTTTTCGTCAGGTTGAGGATAGGGAAAAGGAGGAGTCAATTTCTCAGATAGAGTGGTAAGGGTTGGAAAGTTACTTTAGAACTCAAGATGGATTCCTGAATTTGGAGCAAAGTGAGAGGAAGAAGGATGGTGAAGGTGAAGATGGGGGGAAGGAAGGTTAATAATGCTAAGAATTCAGCTAGGTTTGGTTAGAAGGGGTTTTGGGGTTTTGGGGTTTTGGGG